GGTTAGGGTATCAACGACCTCCTAATGCGAAAAAATTTGGCAGACGGTCTATGTACAAAATAGCAAAACCACACGTCAACTTTCAACCCATTTCGAGAACGTTTTTATTCCCACTTAGAAAATAATTATTAGATGAAATTGTGGGCTCGTGCAAGTGTGGCTGGTCTCGAACGGTCAATAAAAGGCAATGCGGAGAAACGGCAACTACGAACGGATGTAAGTTTTGGAAAATGATGGCAAAGGAGTATTGATGCAATGTGAATGATGCGATGATGAATGCAACAAACAAATAATTAACGCGGCTATCATGAAAAGCAGGAAGGCATCTGGAGCGTCGATCTCGGGCTGTTACACTGTAGTAGTGGTTAATGGCATCTTCATAGTGTTCCTGTGTAATCATGTAGCGTAACTTTTTGTTGCATAACACGCTCCCCTACAGTCAAAGGGGTTTAAGTGGTGTCATTGAAGCCTTATTGTCCATCCAAAAAATATCAGCACTTTGGGACACGAGAGAGTTCACTAATTTATCAAAAAAAGGCCCGCAAGTGGCAGCAAAGGCTTGAACACTTGAGAACTGCCTCGGTTGGATGTGGTCCGTCAACAGAGGAAATTTCATGACAATGTAGTTGAAAGAAGCTTTGTATCAATAGGAAGTATTCGTGTGTGCAATGATTACGCAAGGGGTTCGTAATACTGGTTATTTTTAAGCCCAAGTAGTGCAAAGAAAAAGAATGAACCAAATCACTACTCTCCATGGAAGTGCTATTCTATTTGTGTTGATCTGGACGGTGTAAGGGAAAAGATTCTCAATTTCTACAAGCCGTTGTGTCAGTCACAAGGTTTTAATGAGATGCACAGACTTCTAGATATTGTCACTCTTTGGGTCTCGAAACCTATGAATGAACTTCTTGAAAAAGTTCTTGCAGACGAGGAGGTGAAGAAAACATTGTCCGACATGACACCGTCAAAGGCTCTGGGAATTGATGGTTTTCCTGCTAGTTTCTACCAGCATCACTGGGATATTCTAGGGGGCTGATCTTGAGGCTATCGTGTTGGAATTCTTGAATGGAGGGGAGTTACCGTTGGGACTTAATGATATTGTCGTCACATAAATCCCAAAGGCATGTACTATTGCCTTATGCCCTACTCCCTTTGTCTAGTGAAGAGGTATATTTGGGTTTAAAATTTGTCCATAAAAGAGTGTACTTCTATCTTCCATCTTCCCAATGCACAGTAATGTAGAAAAAGATGTTTTTCTCTCATCACATGGTAATCAAGACCAATAACATTCTACACATGGTATTCTTAATTTCTACATGCACTTAGCTCATTGAGGGTTTGGTAATTCAAGAGGAGAGCGGTGGTGGCTTGCACCTTTCCAATGCATTTTTAACTCCACGCCATAATTTGTCCTAAAATTTCTATATGTATACTTTTCACCAGATGGAGGGAGTATCATGTACTCCCTCCGTCCCAAAATAACGGTCTTAACTTTATAATAACTTTAGTACAAAGTTGTACTAAGGTCAAGACGCTTTTTTTGGGAGGGAGTGAGTATAAGATTTCAGCTAAGGCCATCGCCAACCGCTTCAGAGGCTTGTTGGATGAGATACTAGGAGAAGAATAATCTACTTCCATACCAGGACGCTTGATTACTGATAACGTCGTAGTAGCGTATGAATGTGTCCATGCTTTGAAGAAGAATAAGAAATGTAAGTCCACCTTCATTACGCTTAAACTATACATGTTAAAGGCTTATGACAGAGTCGAATGGCATTATTTGGAAGTAATATTGGTCAAACTAGGCTTTCCAAACTGATTTGTGTGATTGATAATGAACTGTGTGCCTTCACTAAGATTCACGATCAAAGTGAATGGGGACTTGCTACCTTATTTCACCCCTTAGAGGGGGTTGGGGGTCCCCATATCTTTTTCTCATATGTGCTCAAGGTTACACTTCACTTGTGAATAATAATGGCGGAGCATATATTGATAGAGGTATTCGGGTTAGTGTTCACTCACCATGGGTCAATCATTTACTCTTCGAAGATGATAGTTCAATATTTATAAATGCTAAAGTGGAGAGTTTTCATTGGTTAAATGAAATTCTTCGGATTTGTGTACCATGTTTTGGACAAGTTGTTAACCCGGAGATAAGTTCTGTTTATTTCAGTCACAATGCTTCGCAAGCCCTCCGCACAAACTTGAAGCAACTTCTGAGGATTAATGTGGAAGCATTATCAGCACGGTATTTCGGGCCGCCAAAGGCGGTTGGCTGGATAAGTGGCACATTTGATCATATTGATGAATAGGATCTGGAGTAAGATTCAAGGTTGGCCAGAGAGGAACTTAGCTTGTGCAGGAAGAGAAATGCTTTTGAAATCAGCAATTCAGACGATCCTGATATACAGTACGAGTTGCTTCCTATTGACAAAGAAAATGTGCAAAAATATTACCGCTTGCATGGCAAAATATTTTGGTGGGGTTCTTTGGATAAGAGATCTCTTCATTGGTTGTCCAGGGAGAAACTCGCATCGCCGAAAGCTAGGGGAGGCATGGGATTTAAAGATTTCCGACAATTCAATATATCTATGCTGGGTAAACAAAGGTGGCCATTGCTGACTCATCCCAACTCTCTTTGTGCTTGAATTCTTAAAGAGGAATATTTCCCTCAGTGTGATCATGCAGGCAACTGCCCTTGGAGTTCTATAGTTACTTTCTCCGTTTCAGTTTACAAGTCCTACACGTATACCTAGATTGTCAATTTTATCACCCTAATATAAACTATATAACACAAAAATTATACCTTTTGAAAATAGATCATCTGAAGTTTATATTGATATATTTTTTGTAATATATGACTTGTATTAGGTTGGTCAAATTGACAACCTAGAAATACGCGCACGTCCTATAAACTGAGGGAGAGGGAGTACCTGTAAATAGATCATGGCGGGATTGGTGGCATTGAATGTTGGAGTGATCAAGCTAGTCGGTCAAGACTCGAACGTCTCAATTTGGACGGATAGATGGATTCCAAACAGTGCAACTCTCAAACCAATGGGCCGGTTGGGCAATGATCCATTGAAAAAGGTCTCTGACATTATTGATGATTACACCAGTTGTTCAAAATATAAAATATTGATGATTACACCAATGGTTGGAAAACTGATATTATTCACCAAAATTTCTTTACACCTGATGATGCAGATGCTGTACTCAATATCCGTTGAGTTCATCAGTAGGTGAGGATTATACCTGGCCATACCTCAGGTCGGGCCAAGCTAAGCCCAACGCAAAAAACCCAGGCCTGGGCCCAGCCCGGCCCGGTCATCGGGCCTGTTTTCTGGGCCCAAGCCTGGCCCGAACGCTTAAAAACCTGTCGGGCTTCGGGCCGGACCGGCCCGCCCTTCAAAAAACATGAAAACGACGGGCCCAGCCCAGCTCGGCCTTCGGGCTCAAAATCTAGGCCCGGGAACAGCGTCGGGCCGGGCTGGCCAGGACTAGTGAGGATGCATGGACGCTAGAAAAAACGGAAATTTCTTCACGCCTGATGCAGATGCTGTAGTCAATATCCCGTTGAGTTTGGATGTTGTAATCAATACCCCGTTGAGTTCATCAGGAGGCGAGGATTTCTTGGCATGGGCGACAGAAAAATCAAGAAGTACTTCGCGGTATCCTTCCAGATTTTGTCAGTTTGAAATATCTACTCCCTCCTTTCACTTTTGTAAAACGTTTTAGACATTTAAGACAGCACCTAAAACAGTTTAATTTTAGCTGTCTTAAACGACTTATAAAAATAAACAGAGGAGTATTAAAGAGATTGGCCGCTGTGCCTGTGAAGTGTACCAGGCTATGGATGAAAATTTGATGCATGCATTGCTTCATTGCGCACATGCGAAGAGTTTCCGGACAGCAGCTCATGATCGGCTCCAGTTAAAGGTTCCGAGGCTGCATCCATATACGTGGACCTGCGAGCTAGTTCGGTTCCTGTCCTGGCCCTTGTGCCTGAGAGAAAGTAGTGCCCGGCGTGGAAGCACAATATTGAAATTCCCTGCCCGGCCAGGCTAGCCAGAATGAAACCTGTTGGTTGCTGCCTGGCCTGACGTACTAGTATCAACGAATAAAATATACTCCCTCTGTTTCTTTTTAGTTCACATATAAGATTTGGTCAAAGTCAAACTTTATAAAGTTTAACCAACTTTGGAGGAAAAAATATCAACATTTACAATACTAAAGCTATATGGTATGAAAGTTAATTTCATGATGCATCTAACAATGTTGATTTCATATTGTGAATCTTAATATTTTTTTCTATAAACTTAGTCAAAGTTAACAAAGTTTGACTTTGACCAAATCTTATATGCGGACTAAAAAGAAACAGAGGGAGTAACAAAGAACTAAGGAATAACTGCTATTGGGTGGGACACGTCCACATACTAGTATTTAGAGCCCAGGCAGCTATTAGCCTGCGCCTGGCTATCCAGGCCAGGCTGCTACCAACTTTTTCAGGAATTGAACCATACACCTATGAGCGAACTACAGGCACACTCCAGGTCAGGCTAGAAATCGTGAGGACTCGAACCAAACTGACCCAAAATATGGAGGCAGACAGGATGTGCAAGGCACACACCATCAGAGCTAGCACGTTCCGAGTAACACAAGCGCTCTTAAAAACTCTAAAACACTTTACACAGGCACATGTCTATGTCAGAAATGGTGAATTTTCACCTGGAACAACAACATCTCTCAATATCATACATCTACGATCCAGTTCATATCCTAATCAGTTTGGTATACAAATGTTGTCTAGGCTTGGCCACGGTTTTACACGCTTTGTCCTCAGAAAGCCATTAGCATTCCACGCTTGTAGGACTCCAGTCCAGTATGAGCATTTCATTTCATCACTTCTCGCTTTTCAACAAAAACTTGACGCTAAAACTGAGAATAAACAGCCATATGTACCTCAACCAATAACATCGCATAGGCCCCCTCATCTGGCATTAGTTGGGTGCACCGTCAGGCTGTTGGGGGTTGTCTGCAACCACTTGACGCCTCTGACGCTCTCTCAAGTACAGGACAGTTACAAGGCAAGCAAATAGAGTCAATATTGTTGCGTTCCCTTCATCCATCAGGACATCTTCCACCCATTCCTCAACTACAGGATACATCTCCGGCAGCGAGTCGATAAAATTAACCTGAAATAAGAAAGGTTTAGCTACCAACTGCAAGGAGTACAACAATCTAGCATGATTGCAATACTCAATACGGCATGCATAGTAAGAACAAAAGGCAGACATCAACTATCAGGTGGCTAGGGATGAACAGACAAGTTGGCATATGTAGTGTCAATCTTGAAAGAGCATAACTCCAGGTAACTGAGAGAACTAGAGGTGGTAAAGAAATCAAAAGCTCAGAAGCACAGACTGAAGCCTGAGGCAGTTTGTGAATTGCTGCAAACATGGTATTTCAAAACTAAAAATTAACTTATGTTTGGACGATGCTACGGTTCATTGCATATGATCAACCAGTGGGAACCAGCTAGAAACCAAAAAAGATGAGCAGCAGGGAGAAAGTGGGAAATGGACCAGGAAAACAAGTTGCCAAATAAATAGCTGCTTAAACGGCAACAGAAATTACCATACAAGGAAACGAACTTGAAAACACCTACAAGTGAACTATACAGATACTTCCTATTTCTTGTATGCAACTAAGCCATACAAAGAGAAAATCATGTCTTACCATAAAACTGCCAGCATAGTTTTTCCTTATCCATAGACTAGTTAGTGCGAGCATGACAGGAAGCTTAGCTGCTGAATCCACCTCCACAGCCTGATCATAATATCTTTTTGCCAAGTGCAGATCAAGGGGAAGTCCATGACCGTGCTCATGCATGTACCCAAGGTTAAACATGGCGTGGGCATTAGACTGTGATTGAGCATGCATATATGCCTCTGCTGCACGCTCATAGTCCCTCCCTACACCCTGTAACACAGGACAGATTCAATATGTGATTTCAGCAACGATACTATGAAAAGTCGAGAGAGAGCGCACAGCCCCCTAGTACCTCTGAAATGCAAAAGCAAATTTAGAAGCAAAACCAGACTCCACAACTATGTTGCAGGCGCGTCCCGTTTTCAAATACATCTCATGTGTGAATTTATTTTAGAAGCCATATATTTTACTTAGTTATCCAAATAGTGGTTTTGGAGAAGTTGTCTCATCAAACATGACAGTTGGTCCCTCTCAAAAGACATTATGTACAAGTGCATAACTTCATAGAGACAGATGGCTTATATTGGGTGCAAACATATGGCTTGTATTGGTGCCACATAAACTCCATATTCTTTTCAAAATTCAGAACACAAACCTAAGGCACTTTATATTATTGTTTACCAACGTTTTTAACAATCTGTAGTAATCATACTAAGAGAAAAAAACAAAAAATGAGGACCAGATCTCCAACATATAATATTAGCCTACAACATATGGTGCTTGATGTGAATTTGTTAAGTAATTTTAGCAGAAGCCTGCAACCATCTAGATAGGATCAAGAGGGTACTTGAGAAACGTGTTATACCAACTAACAGTAAGGACCATTTCACATACCCGGCCATAGTAGTAGGCATCGCCAATCAACAGAGCAGCATGCTCATTACCCTGCTCAGATGCTTGCCACCACAAAGCATGTGCACGGAGATGTCTTTCCATATCTGAACAGAAGCCAGATTCTCCCATGCAAATATGTTCATCGCCATATCTATCAAGAATCCAGGCGGCATTGCTTTGGGCAACCTCGTACCCAAGATCTGCCATTCTAGAATATAAGAGCAATGCCTTCCCTATGTCGCCTTTTAAATAAGATTCTAGAGCCCACCTAGACATCGAGCTCCAGGGGCCCCTCTCAGCAACAGACTTGTACAAAACTGTTGCCTGAAACAAGAAAGACTAATGATTCAGCCCTTTGATAATAATATTTCAAACAATTCATGTTTCCCTATTTGTATCATAACAGATTAATATCATTAAAACAAATCGAAAAAGTATGTTATAGCATTAATGCTTCTGTAAATCAGCCTTCTATCTTTCTCTACAGAAACAACAGCTTGATCTGCCTGAGCAGAGGGTTTTCTATTCAATCTTGTAACAGGAAATGTATACTTTAGCATTACATGCCACTTCTTTAATTAATAGACTATAGTCCATTCAAGCAGACATAAAGATGACAAAGAGCACATGCACTCTAGGGGTACGTTTGGTTTACCACCAACACCAGCCTTACCAAAAAATCGGCTCGCCAACGGGATTTGGCTGCCGTTTGGACAAGCACCAAAAAATTGGCCCGCGCAGCCCGCGTGGAATGCCTGCGTGTTATTCTCGCCAATTTGTGGGTGCGCAAGGGCATGGAAAACGCTCGCCAAATAATTGGCAGCATGCCCTTGCCCGCTCTTTATGTGGGTCCCGCTCCGTTTTTGGTTTTATACCATGGTCCCGTCCAGTGTTTGTTAGTAAAAGACATCAGTACGGCAGATTAATCGCATGGGTAGCTACGTGATGACCGAGCAGTTGTTTGAAATCATGGATGGATTTTTACATTCACGTGTTGTTTGGATGGATCAATCCCGTGTAAGCAGCTGCCCAACATAGTTTTATTACTATACTGGTTTTTTCTTCTGTGCGGGTAGGGGCTAATGGTCACAAAACCACTACTAATTATCTTGGTTCGGTCGTGATTCTCTATACTCTTGAATGTTTATTTTTGGCATATTATAGTTAATTGATTTCTATAGTACAGAAAAACTTATTTTTTTAATGTGTCTCTTTCTTTGTTGGCTCGAGGTACAGCCAAATTAAAATCAAATCAAACACTAATCAATCCAGCTACTCCTACAAAGCATTTGGTAACTCAGCTAGTGGCAAACCAAATGAAAGTCTCAGCAATTTTATCAAAATTTTGGCTACAATCCAAACAATGTTAACTTACCAAAATTTTGGTCATGCCCTCACACAGGTCATGCCAATTTTTTGGCTGGGCTAGCTGGGGCACAAACCAAACACACCCTAAATCTAAAGATGGTGCACATGCAAGAAAATAAAATAAAATAGGCCTGCTATAGCACCATAAAAAAATGCACGCTTGGCGTATTCTAGCAGACAACTCTATCACAGAGCATTCAGCAATACTTCCATACAAATACTCTTACAAGCTACTGCACGAGTTCCAAATCAGATTCTTTGCTTGGATAAAAGAAACAAGTGAAAACAAGTTATGTTTGTCATTACATGCGAGCATGAAGATTGAATAATTTAATAGTGATATTGTCGTGTGGTTTATATGTTTTGGCGTCATTTTATATCTATAATGTAAGCATATTGGCTTTTTGCAATTCGAATGCTTCACTTTAAGATTGATTCTTTGATTTGAAGACTTCTTGAAATATAGCAGAGCCCGCTGTGCCCAGTGTGTTGTAGCAACATCATCTGCTATAAGAAAACACTTGGTTACTCAATACACTTCTTTATACTACACACTATTCAAATATTGTGCGAGACATTAACTGGTAGGAAATAATTCCTATGGACCCGTTGAACTTGGTTGTAGCCTCAGGAACTGAATCAATTTGGAAAGTTTGGCAAGATATATCCATATCGGATGTGATAAATTCATAATGGAACTGAGATAGACTTCCACCACCGGGTTTCTAAGAAAAAAGAAAAGCGTTGAGGCACAACACACAGTCTACTCATTGGGCATCTTAGGTGCTATGATGGCCTAATTACGCATGGCTCATGAGAGCATCCCTTACTCATACACTGATGATGATTTGATAAGGAATGCTCATTGAAGCATCATACATAATTGTGACAATGGAAGATTTAATTCAGCAATTGATACAGCAAAATAATTGTCATTACCATATGGAGGTTCCTCTTAAGACCAATTCCTTTTTGGAACAACTTTGCCACTTGATAAATAGCTTTTGGTTGCCCAGCATTTACTGCACGAAGAAAATAATTGCATGCTGTCATCACATCCCTCTTTACACCAATACCCTTTAGATATAGAACACCAAGGTTATAATAACCCCCATGCTCTTTATGGTCAGCTGCAATTTCAAAATATTCCTTTGCCTACAAAAAGGTAAGTAAAAGAATGTAAGTTCCTCAAGCTTATAGTACATTGATTATTGCAATACAGAACTGTGTATTGTTCAAACCAGCAAGATAGTGAAATGTCCAATTTTGTAACTTGTGTTTGTTAACAGCCAAATGGATTATATAAGTAAATTGAAATTTTCATAGGTCTTAGCATTTATTAACAACTAATAGTGCAGAACTGCGGAACATTGTAAGTTTGTCACTTGAATTCTTCTCCATCAGCAACTCGAAATATCTAATCTTCATAGTTAATAACATCCTAGCGAACATGGGTATACTTGTTACTATCACTACGTTCAAAAAAATTGCAGTCATCATATCCATCCATTTGAAAAATTGATGTGAATGTGATACTAAACCATTGTCCTAACTTACTTAAAGATGCTCCTTGTTAGGCTTGTTAACACATCAGCAATACCAGGATAGGGATTGTTTTAATGATTATTACTGTTGTTATGGGTGCAACCTATCTCTATTGCATAGTCCAAGGGGCATATACACAAGACTTGGGGCACAAGGAAAGGAAACATAGCCTAATAGGACTCCTAGACCTAATACTAATACTCCTTAACACCCCATGCAATAGCATTGCATTTGAAGAAATGTAACACTAAAAAAAATGATATTCAATGTAAGGAACACCATCAAGAGTCAGAGAGCAGTGAGAGAGATGCATATCCGATGAAAATATCATTTATTTTTTACTACTCACATCACGAGAATCTAGCTTCAGCCAAAAGCCAAGACCATACGTCACGAGAACCTGGCTTCAACCAACAGCAAGACCACAACACAGCTGCGGCGCTGAAGCAGATCAGGACATAGCCTAATAGGACTCCTAGACCTAATACTAATACTCCTTAACAACTTTCTATGGCAGCTGTAAGTCGTGCATTGACAAAAAAAGTTGTATGCCTTGATCAAATGTGATCGCTTTGTTCCTCCACGGCAACAGGATCACTGGTGAACTTGTCCATCCAGACTACTGTAAAGTCAGACTTGAGTTCCTGTCTACTAAGATGTGTAGCAGTATAATTTACCAAAACAGCTATAGAAAATCTAGCTGGCAGGCAGTATCTCTACCCAATAACAAAGATAGCAGCAAGCATGGTGAAAATGTAGCCACAGAATATTTAGTTCACGCAAGTCTAGCAGCGGACACAGTGCACGGCAACAAGCTTATACTGTAGAGGAGTTATGACCTACTCAACTGCATTCCAAATTCTAACACATAATACTTACTTTTGTCAAGTTCTTCTCCACCCCATAGCCTTTCACGTAGAGATAACCCAGTCCATTGTAAGCTGAGTACTGTTCCTGCTGTGCTGCAAGTCTCAACCACCTGTATGCTAGGGTGTAGTTTCTTTCCACTCCAGCACCTCTAGCAAAGATCTCCCCCATAAGCTCCATAGCACGTGGCTCGTCTTTCTCCACAGCCTTAGAGAACCAATAATATGATTTGCCATAATCACGTCTGAGTCCTCGTAGTCCATAGTAGTACAGAAGCCCTAATTTATACATTGCGGCAGCATTGCCTCGTTGTGCCTGGTACTCCGTGATTTGAAAATCTTCATCATCCTCACCACGGGACTTCCTCAAGGCCTCCTTGTTTTCTTCAGTTCCACTGTGCAGCCGAACTGGTTCAATCACTGGTGGCTCCATCGAGATTAAGGAGCTTGTAAGAGCAGCTTCTGCAAGTTCGGCATATAGTGTGACAGCCTCTTCATACATCTGTAAAAGCAAATCGTTCAAGTCAACAAATATCCAATATTAGCAAAACTAATGTGTTCCAGCCGGTCCAAATCATTTGCATAGACCATATATATATATCGATTGAAAGTGCAGTGGCAAAACCAGAGTAAAGATAATTAAAAGATATAGTAATGCCATCATACCTAGATCAGATATCGAAGCACCAGATTTCAGACTAGACTATAGAACTGAAACAACGATAGTAAGGCATTCATGTGTTTCAATAAAGTTCTGAAATGACGCAAAGATTGCACAATAAAGACAAGCAAGCCAAAGCAATGGCATAAATCGGCAGGAAGCTACATGAGCTGAAATTAATGACATAATAAATATACATATGTGTGTGTGTCTATATATATATGTGTGTGTGTGTTTGAACAAGCAGAAAACACTATACCCTTTTCCTTTATTTCATGCAACAAAACACAACGGTTGTTACCCCACTGTTGAGATATGCGATATGCCACACGAAAGACAGCAGCTTTTGATAGTAGGAACATTGGCACGATATATACCTCTAACCGACAAACTTGAACACCAACAACAAAACAAACCTTGACATTCTTACTTAGATCATATAAAAGAAAAACATTGGCAGATGTACGAGTCTAGTATGTACAAGGGCATTGGTATGTGAGCCTTAATTGCATGGCAGAGGACTTTCGGAGCATTTTAAAAACTAAATACAACTGAACTTCATCGGCCTGATTTGTGTTGTTTTGATCAGACTGCTAGTTATTCACAGGAATACATACATTGGTCCTAATAAACATGGCCCTATTACTACAGCTCGGAAGATGATAAAGACAGAAGGCCAGTTAAACATAACATCACAAGCCCTTGAACAAATTTGCTGCAACATTGGAGGTAAAAATCGAAATCAAAGTTATAAGTTACATGTACTAACTAACAATACAATAGGGTACCACTTATAAATTTAACAAAACCAAGCCAACGACTAAAAACGTTCTAAAACACTGAGTAAAAGAACCTATGGAGACAAAAATTCACATATGTCTATGTTAATCATGTGAGGCTTATCCCTTCAACGCAAGCTAGATAGCTAACCCCTATACAAAATCCCCCAATCGCAGAATCCCCATTAGAATTAGTTAATTGCACGAGCAAGCAAACAATCGAACCGAATCACCTCACCTCCTGGCGAAAATAGGCGTAGGCGAGCGCCATCTTAGACTGGAGGTCACCTGCGTCGGCGGCGAATTTGTCCAGCAGGAACGCGCGCGAGCGGGAGACCGGGCGCGCCATTCCAGCTCCGGAGAGAAACGCCAGCGCTGACTGTGCGCCGGGGTGTCCCCCAGTGGCTGCAGCGTCGATCTGCGCGGACGCAGTGGAGAAAGCGGCTTCGTCCCCCGAGGATGCCGCTGAGATCATGGCGCGGACGCCCGCGACGAAGAGCGCATCGGACGGTGGGTCCTGCTGATCGCCCGACGGGGAGGGGGTGGTGGGGTCAAGGAGGGGGATCCAGGAGGACGGGGAGAGGAGGGGGTCGGTGGCGGGGGAGTCGTCCGCGAAGTCATCCCAGTCCTCGCTGTCCCCGTCGGCGGATGGCAGCGAGGGGTGCGCGCCAGAGGGGTCCTTGAGGAAGTCTTCGCCGGAGAGGACCAGCACGAAGGGGCGTACGGCCGCGGCGCGGGGGAGGAGAGCGGAGACGGTGAGGACGGCGAGTAGGAGGAGACGGCGGTGGAGCGCGGCGGCCATCGGAGGAGAACCAGACGAGATCCCTGTGCTGCAGTGAGTTTGGAATTTAGGGGGTGCTAACCAATAAAGACTGACAGGTGGGGTCAAGTTTGAGGTGGCCAACGACGGCGCGTCACGTTTTTGCGGTGACGTGGATATCGAGGCCACGGTGTCGACGTGTACTGCGCAACGTGATTGGCTGGGGCTTTCGATTATCGCAAGATTTCCTATTTGAGTTTTGATTTCGAAATATTATTTTTTAAATACATATAAACCTCGTTACTCCTAATGTCTGAGTTGATGAATAGTCTCCATGATTTACTTTCGTCTGGTAATTTTCGTCCGGTTTATTTCATCTCACCTCTCACGTTAATTTTTTTTCTTCGCACGTAAAAACGAATCACGTCTGATACTCCTTTCATTTATTCGTGCCGTGTCGATTCAATTCAATCATGTAAATATTTAATAATTAAGAATTCAGAAATAATAGTTTATCAAAAAAAATTCAGAAATAATACCATACAAACAGATCACCTCCCTATTTCTCACACCAATCCATCAATGGTCACGTCCAACCTTCCATCACCGAGTGATCCCTCACCTTCGTTCCCCCTAATAAAAGGAAACACAATCAAGCATTGAGAAAAAAATCAGGCGCAAGAATCAGGTGCGAGACATGCTTTCTCTCATAGATTGTCTGAACGAAGGCGAGGTGGGGCGCCGGTCACCTTCCCCATCGACGCGTGCGGCCGCCGCCTGACGCTCTACCAGCAGTTGTCGTCCTTCACGGACACGTCGGGGGTCACGGGCGCCGTGGTGTGAGACAGCGGCGTCGTGCTCGCCAAGTTCCTCAAACACGCGGCCGACAGCGGCCTGCTATTGGTGTGCGGCGCGCGCGGTGGACCTCGGCGTTGGGTGCCGGCTCGTGGCCGTCGTGGCGGCGCTGCTCGGAGCGCGCGTCGTGGCCACCGACCTGCCCGACCGCGTCCGGCTGCTCCGGAAGAACCTCGAGGAGAACGTCGAGGTGGTGGGGATGTGGGGGCGGGTCGGCAACGGTGGCGGAGCTAGTGTGGGGCGACGAGTACGAGCTCGACCCCGAGCTGCTGGACCCACCGCTGGAGCTCGTGCTGGGGTCGAACGTGGTGTACAGCGAGGAGGTCGTCGGTGACCTGCTAGCCACGCTCACTCGGCTGGTGGGGCCGGGCACCAGCGTGCTGCTCGCCGGCGAGCTCCGCAACGGTGAGCGATCCAACCCCGTCCAATCCGATGTTGAATGCCTTGCTGCTGATTGCTGAAGTAATGATGAAGTGTGAATGAAGGACCATACATGGTGGTGCCATGGTGGAGTGCTTCTTGGAGGCGGCCATGGGGGAGTTCGAGATCGAGTGCGTGGAGCAGGCGCAGTGGCACCCCGACTTCCGCACCAACCACGTCGTCATCTTCATCCTCCTCAAGATTCAAGAAGACACCGCCGCCGCTCCCTGTCTCACTGCCATAGCTGCTCTGCAGAAGTAAGTCGGTCAGTACAAGCATGAAGGGTTGGTCCGATGCAGACTTATTGTTGTCTATACCTACTAATAAAAGAAATAGGTATTCTTAGTCCGTCATGCTATTTTGTAGAAAAAAATCTGATGTTTCTGACATTAAACCTGTAGTACATATCAAATGTTTTTTTTAAATACTCATATCTTTTAAACCGTAACTCCAAATTTAACATATTATATATGAAATTTGATGAGAAAAATATGTAGAATCTAAATATGATGTTATTTTACCTGTTAACAGTTTAAAAAATATTATCTAGGCTACAATGTTAACAACAATGCATTATCCGTCTTTTTTTCATACCGGTACCGGTTCATATTCAGATTTGTTAACTCCAAATTCTTTTTTTCATACGGTTACTGATTCAGGATTGGACATCAAATTGAAGATAAATTTGTTAGAGACAATAAATAAGGACATGCATGACAAGAAATAAAAGGACCAAACAAAGATAGGATGTCCGCTATAAAATAAATAAAAGAGAAAATGCAGAGATCCGATAAAGATGAGATGTTGCGCTATTATCCTATATATAAGAAGAAGAAAAAAGAGGGCATGCATGAAAAAAGTAAAAAGGAGGCATGCATGACATAAAATAAAATAAAAGATAAGTTTGATAAAAGTAAATAGTGATCAAATAGGAACCAATACCTATGACATGTATGGCAAGAAATAGTAATGAAATAGAGGCGCAAGTACCTACGTCAACATGAGACCGTAAAAAAAATGTTCTTTTCCAGACAAAAAAAAATCTCCTTTTATGATAAAAAATCCTGTATCTTTTTAACAACTTTTTTAACTCTTCATGTATTTAAGAAATAGCTACAAATTCTCAGATTATAAAATATTTTTTGTAAATTAAGAGTGTGTGATATTTTTTCTCCCGTTGCAACGCACAGACTTTTTTGCTGGTAACAATTAACATTATTATTATACCGAAACCGGTGCACACATTGGCTGTAGCTCTCAGTGGTAGACATCAATCATCTATGATTCTCAAGCTATATGTCTCATGGTGTACATGATGCCTTCAGTCCACATAATATGTTTCACTGACATTTTGCTTTTTTGAGGGCTCTGTGATTCTCCAACTACTTAATTTATGTACCTATTTAATTTGGTTATCCAATGGCAATAACAAGAAAAAAGCGGATGCCTCATCTCACTTCTGCCGTCCTGCCCTACCACTCGAAGAGTCGCCACCATGTAGCCTCGTGCCCTACCCCATCTCGGATTCCTCCCTCTCCTCCCTCTTTGTCTCTTGTGCACGCTCATGCATGGGATGGGCTACTCGGCCGTTCCCCGCAGGCTGCCACCATCCTCCTTGGCATCGTGCCGTCAACACCTTCGCTAGGTATCAAGGGTTCCAAGATCCCGGTCTGATCTGACGTTGTCCGGTTAAGAGTCGTGGTCGCCTACATCAGGCACCTCTGTGGCCATGGCCGCGCAGATCGTGTAGACCGCCATCGATGGTGGCCTCTCTATCACTATGGCGCACTGATTCCCCATGTATCTGCCGCATCTGAGGACCTCCTCTAGCAAGGACACAGGAGTCGGACTCATTGTTGAGGATGCACGGCCGCTGCCATGAGGTTAGAGCCGCCTTATCCGGTAAGGAGGTGGGCGACGTCGCCTCCATTCGTCACGAACCGACATGGATGCCGCTTCTGCTGTGTTGGCATGCTCCTCCTAGATAAAAAACAGACATCAGCTCTACTGAGGTCAGGCTTTGTAAATTCTAATAAACTTTTCTCAATTAGACCGACTTATTAGATTGTCCAACGGACATAGCATGGAGTACTGAAGTACATCCGGTTTGTGGGTGACCAAGGTTTATATCTGCCATTTCAGGGGCGATGGTGTCTATTTGGCAACGATGGTGGAGTCAATAGGAGCTTCATTCGCGGCTCGGGCTTCGGTACTCGGATCTTCTCGACGTGTCCGAGGTGCTCTTTCGTCCGTTGCTTTGCTTTGAAGTCAAAGTTGCAGCGTCGCAAGTCCTGCACATTTCCCTTGTGATGCTTGTCATAAGAGTCAGAGTTGTCAGTTATTTGCATGTGTGGCCTTCGGTTGGCATGTGTCGTCATGGTTTCTGTGCAGCTGTTTGCGGGTTGGCTCGATGATGAAGGTCTATGGTGAAGTCGGAGTTGCCCGTTCTGAGGTAACCAGTGATGACCATGACGCTTGCGACTACTCGGCATATGTATTTTCCTATTTGTAGCTCTATGTTCTATGTCGATAGCCAGGTTGGTCGGTGTTCCCATGTTATGTGGGTTGGATTATATCGGTTTTAGCCTGGTTTTCCATCAACTAACTGGGAAATTCGCGCTCTCTAATCAATGAAAATGGCAAGCCTTTTGCGTCCTTTCAAAAAAAGATATATAGGTGTATGGGGAAGAGGGATGACAAGAAATAGGCCGCTTTGTTTTCCACTGATGGTTAAGGAGATGTTTCCTCGATGGGAAGAAAAACAAGGATAGAAAGAATTGGGATGCGTTCGATCTGGAGGTATCCAAAACATAGGATTGGGAGCATGTGTAGGAATAAAAGATGATTGCAGCTATAAAATGGAGGAACAAGAAACCAGAGAAAAGCTTACAACGAGGCCCGCAACAACGATTACAATGGAAGATGATTGCTGATATAAAGTGAGCATTATTCACATATACTCATTTTCAGCCCGTGGCAACGCACGGGCAATCTACTAGTCAGAGTAAATGGTTCGATTTATAATGAAACTAGGCCAAAAACTATGATGGCTGCAACGTAGAAATGAGTCGCCTCACCCACCGTCTGATCTGTCTGTCACGAACCGTTTGATCCTTTCAGCATTGGAGCGCCTCACTTCGTCCTCCTCTTTCCTCCCTCGCAACACACTTATGCCTTCTCACGGCATGCATCATGCGGTGCCGTCATCCTAGCAAGAGCTTGCAGCACAACAGCCCCCGCAAAATCCCGACGGCCGCTTGCAACACCTTGTCCGGCTTGCAGCGGCGAGAGCACACTGGCACCCTTTGACATTGCAGCGCCATCCCTGTTGTTGTTCCTATCCGGCGAGGCTCCAATGCAACACAATGCGGCCCTAGCGATGCTCCAATCCAACCCCGTGCGGTCCCAGTGATGCTTCAATGCAACACCGACAATGACCCAATAGAACACCGCGCGTCCCCGGCGGCCTGATGATGCACCATGGCAGCAAAAGGACACAGCGATGCTCCATCGCAGCAAGGGGAGCAGCTCCACTGCAGCACCGGTGGTCCGGCAATGTTCAACTGCATCACTAGACGGCCTCGACGGAGATTCATCGCAATCCCGACGGCCCCCCGGCGAAGCTCCATCCGTGGCGATGGGTGTTGCGATGCAGCGAGGTGGCCATGGCGGAAGTTGCAGCGTGTGGCAGCAATGATGGAAGCTGAGATGCAGTGTTGCGCGATGAGGGGTGTTGCGACGCGACTTGACATCCATGGTGGAAGCTG